GGCTGGTGGCAATACAGCCCATCATAGCAGGATTGTGTTTGTGGCAGAAAAGTCCTGTTCACTTCATGACATTTAACACATGGGCCTTTGGAAAATTTTCAAGATCCAAACTATAGCAAGAGCATGCTCCATACTCTTGGTATCATCCTGTGACAGTCACAATTAGTACTCTTCTTGGTATGCTGTTACCTCTCAAAAAGTTTTAAATGTTTGCATACAGCCATCTGTTAAAGTAAAATGATCTCTCTTTAGTGGGAATGACAAAAACTCAAAGGAATACATGATTATTAGCACACTATAATCCATAAATGATGTGTTGAGACAAGAAGCCCAAAATGATGGTAACTGAGAGTAGTGCTAATGCCCTAAGTCAGGAAATTCTTTTTTTATTTTTTGTGGTGCTGGGGATTGAACCCAGGGCCTTGTGCATGTGAGGCAAGCACTCTACCAACTGAGTACCCTCTTTTTAAAAAATGTATATATATTTTTTTTAAAAAGTCACTTCTTTATATATATATATATATTTTTTTTCATTATAGAATGGACACAATACCTTTATTTACTTATTTATTTATTTTTATGTGGTGCTGAGGATCAAACCCAGTGCCTCATACATGCCAGGAAAGTGCTCTACCACTGAGCCCTAGCCCAGTCCAAGGAATTCTTAAATAAAAATTATAGGGCCAGCCAGGTATGGTGGCGCATGCCTGTAATTCCAGTGGCTCAGGAGGCTAAGGCAGGAGGACTGCAAATTCAAAGCCAGCCTCAGCAACTTAGTGAGGTCTTAAGCAATTCAGTGAGACCCTGTCTCTAAATAAAATACAAAAAAGGGCTGGGGATGTGGCTCAGTGGTTAAGTGCCCCAGTACTAAAAAAAAACCACACACACAATAGGGCCAAATTTGGTGGTGCACCCCAGTAGTCCAAGCTACTTGGGAAACTGGGGCAGGAGGATCACAAGTTGGAGCATGGACAACTTAGTGAGGCCCTCACTAACTTAGTGAGACTCTCAAGATTTTTTTTAAAAAAGGCTGGGAAGTAGCTCAATGGTAGGTGTCATGGTTTCAATATAACTGGCCTTTTTATTGGTTTTTTTTTTTTTTTTTTTTTGCAGTTGTTAACTGATTAACTAATATCTCTTCCTCTTCTACCCTCTGGCCTTTGAAATTAAATTTTTGACATCTCAGAGTTTTTTTTTGTTGTTGTTAGGGCAGACTGCATTTTTTTTATAACATTGGATTTACTTTTCTAATTATTTTTTACTACTTTTGTGTTTATGAGAAATACCAACATGCATTTTTTTTTCTTGTAATGTTTCTTGTCAGAGGTATTATTGACCTCATAAAATGAGTTGGTAATATTTCTTCTTTAATTATTTGGAAGAATTTATTAGCTACCCAGGCCTGGAGTTTCATGGGCTTTTTGTTCGTTTGCTTATTTTGGTTTTGATACCAGGGATTGAACCCAGGGGAACTTAACCACTGAGTCACATCCCCAGCCTTTTTTATTTTGGACAGAGTCTTACTAAGTCTCACTAAGTTACTTACAGCCTCACTAATTTGTTGAGGCTGGTTTCAAACTTGCAATACTCCTGCCTCAGCCTCCTGAGTCACTCGATTGCAGACATGCACCACTCCACCCTGCCGCAGGAGTTTTCTTTGAGGGGAGGTTTTTAATTGTGAATTTTAACTTCTTTAGCAGATATAGGACTATTCAGATTTTCTTATTGTGTCAGTTTTTGGTCTTGTTTGGTACTGGAGATTGAACCCAGGTCCATTCTTATCATTAAGTCACATTTCCAGACCTTTTTATTTTTTATTTTAAGACAGGTTTTCATTAAGTTGCCCAGATTGGCCTTAAACTTGTAATCCTCCAGCCTCAGTCCTCCAAATCAGTGAGATTACAAATGTGTACCACCACTCCTGGCTTTATGTCAGTTTTTGATAACCTATTTTTAGAGGATCTGTCCATTTCATCTACATTGTCATATTTATTGGCATATTTTGCTCAAATATCTTTGTTATCTTTTTCATATCATAGGATCTGAGAGCTGTCCCCCTTTTCAATTCTGTGGGGGGGGGGGGGGTACCACGGCTCTAACCCAGGGCTTTGCACATGCTAGGCAAGCACTCTACCACTGCTCTACATCCCTAGTCCCCACTTTTCATTCTTGATATCAATAATTTGCAATTCTAATTTATTTTTCTTTATCACTTTTGGCAGTGATTCATCAATTTTAGTAATTTTTAAACAATTTTTTGTTTTATTTATTTTCTATTTCATAATTTCAACTCTTAGATTTCTTCCTCTCTCTTTTTCTGCATGCTAGGGACTGAGCCTGGGGCCTCTTGCATGCTAAGTTTATGCTTTACTACTGAGCTATATCTCAGCCTATTTTATTTTATTTATTTTTTTGTTTTGAGAAAGAGTCTTAGCTGGACTTGTCTTTTCTTTTTTCTTTCTTTTTAAAAAATATTTATTTTTTAGATATAATTGGATACAATAACTTTATTTATTTATTTATTTATTTTTATATGGTCCTGAGGATCAAACCCAGGACCTCCCACATGTGAAGTTCTACCACTGAGCCATAACGCCAGCCCTCTTACAGCTTTTTTTTTTTTTTTTTAAGAGAGGAGAGAGAGAGAGAGAGAGAGAGAGAGAGAGAGAGAGAGAGAATTTTAATATTTATTTTTTAGTTTTCGGCAGACACAACATCTTTGTTTTTATGTGGTGCTGAGGATCCAACCGGGCCGCCGCATGCCAGGCGAGCGCGCTACCGCTTGAGCCACATCCCCAGCCCCCTCTTACAGCTTTTTGAGCACATGAATGATTGTCACTTTTTAAAAATAAAAATTGAGCCAGGCACTCGGGGCGGGGGCTGAGACAGAAGGATTGTGAGTTCAAAGCCAGCCTCAGCAAAATCGAGGCGCTAAACAATGCAGTGAGACCCTGTCTCTAAATAAAATACAAAAAAGGGCTGGGGATGTGGTTCAGTAGTCGAGTGCCCCTCAGTTCAATCTCTGGTACAAAAAAAAAATTGAATAGACTGGTGTGGAAGCTATTTAATTGGGGTGTTTGTCTAGAGTCTCACCTTTTTTTTTTTTTTTGTGGTACTAGGGATTGAACCCAGGGCTTTGTGCATGTGAGTCAAGCACTCTACCATTTTAGCTAAATCCCCAGCCCCATGTATTGCCATCTTTTACTAGCAATATTCATAGATGTTTGAGCTTCTCATCCCTATTTCCTACAAAATGATGCCAGCATTGTGCAGGGATTAATGGTGAAGACTCAAGGTTTGCTCATTTTGTGAGTGAGGGTGTTTTCGTTTTCTTGTTTTGTTTCCTTTGAACTGGGGATTAAACCCAGGGGTACTTAACTACTGAGTCATATCCCCAGCCTTTTTTTTAAATTTTGAGACAGGGTCTCACTGACTTGCTTAGAGCCTCCCTAAATTGCCGAAGCTGGCTTTGAACTTGCAATCCCCCTGCCGTGGCCTCCCAAACCACTGGGATTACAGGTGCTCCCCACCACACCCAGCTGGTTTGCTCATTTTAGCAGAGGGAAGTCTTCGAAAAAGCCACCAAATAGCCAGGTGTGGTGGTATATGTCTGTAATACCTCTACTCTGGAAGCTGAGACAGGAGGATCACAAATTCAAGACTAGCCTGGGTAATGTAATGAAACCCTGTCTTGAAAAATAAAAATAAAAAGGCCTGAGAATGGGGATGCAGAGTTTCCCTAGGTTCAATGACCCCCTCCACACACACAAAAAAGCTACCAATACGCTTAGCTTTATAATCATAACCTTTATACACATACTCCCTGAGCTCTCTAGCATTAAGGACAAACTTAAAACACCTAAATGATTAATTTCAATCAGAATTTGAAAAAAGGAGATGCAATGCTGTGTGATTGGTCATTTTGGTCACTGACATCTCACTATGAAGTCCCAGAATGTAGGGTAAGTTGGAAGTGGGGAAACGGAAGTGGGAGAAGTCAGGTGTGGTAAAAATGACTAAAAATGAGAACAATGTGCTAAGTAATAGGCTGAATAATTGAGTATGCAACCTTATTTATTTTCTGTGCTGGGGAATGAACCCAGGGCCTTATGCATATTAAGCACATGCTTTATCCCTGAACTATACTCCCAGCCCAAGAATGCAATCTCTTATTCTTCATAATAGCTTGGAAGTTGGTGGTATTGTTTTTATTTTACAGATGATTAGAGACTGAAAAGATCCAAGAAAATTGCCCAAAGTCCCACAGCTAGGTAACCGGACTGTAAAGCCCCATTCCTGAACTAAGGGTGCTACACCACCTGAGATGAGCTGTTTAAGGGCATTGACCCAACACGTAGGAGGAAAAGCTGCAAAAGGGGAAAGAGGATAAGAGGCTGAAATTCCTTCCTTCCCACCCTTTACCCTCCCACCGGCATTAAAAAAAAAAAAAATCCTGACTGACGTTCTTACAGCACATTCATTATGTAATTTGGAGGAAACAGGAATCAAAAGCAACAAATCCTCATATATAAGAAAGCAAATTTTACCGAGTTAACGTGCACACTAGAACATGCGCTACTTTAAAAATCTTAACTATCCCAGATTTGCTTTACCAATTTATTCCCAAATATTGAGCATTTGGGAAGTTTTCTGTTTTAATGCTTTGCTTTCCCACAGAGATTTCCTGCAGTTAGGGGTTGCTATTTCAATGCAAGGAGACCAACTCAAAAGAAAAGGCAATTTCCTTGCTCTCTACCAGCCTCCCCTAACACACACACACACACACACACACACACACACTAACCCAGGGAGGACGCTAGCAACAGATCCCTCTTGCTCACTCGTGGGGCGGTGGAGGGCTGGCCACAAAATGTCAGGGCTCATTGGCCACCAAAGGAGAGCGCGGCCTTCAGCGGACCGGTGAGGGTGATTGGCTGCTGGAGACCCACCCCTTCGCCGATTGGATGGGGCGGTGAAGCCCGATTGGTAGAGCAGGAAGAGATTCTTCAGTTGCAGTTCTGGATCTCGGTTCTGGAAGAGATGGCGACTGCGACTCGGCTGCTGGGACGGCGTGTGCGGAGCTGGAGGCTGCAGCCGCAGCTGTCGCCCCTGGCCGGCCTCGTTTCCCAGCGCGCCCATTCGCTGTTGCCTGTGGACGATGTGATCAACGGGCTAAGCGAAGAGCAGAAGCAGGTAGAGAGACAGACTCCCTTCCCGGCTGCAAGGCCTTCTGTTTAGCACCCGCTCAGCAGCGGCTTGTGCTCTTTGGACGATGAGAATGTCACTTGGGAGCGAGGGCGGGAAACTGGCCCTCTCCTTTTGGGCCCTGTCCTTTAGTCTCATCTTCACCTCTGTGGAGAGAAGATTTGAGACACCAAAGCAGGGCAGCCAGAGGGATGCAAAGGAAGAAAGCTCCTGGGAGAATGGTGGTGTTTTGATAGATTGACTGGGACTACCGCTTGTGGCAAAAGGGTCCTGCATCTACATGTAGTTCCTGGTTGATCATCATAATCACCAGGGATTCTCTTTGGATAAACAAGGCATTTTGAAGTGCCGGTGAGGTTTGCTATCATTTTTCAGCTTATTAGATCCAAAGCACAAAGAAAGAACTCAAAAAAAAAAATGTGATTACAAATGGGACTAGACCAGAGCCTTTCTTGCAGGAAGGAGGCTATGATCACTTGGAGGTAGATGGAGTGCAAGGGAATGTGATTCTCCAAGGGCCCTAGGTGGTTTAGGGCTTCTCTGAAGACTTCAGTCCTAGGTGTCAAACCTTTCTACCAAGAGGAATTTCTGATTCCTTTCAGTAATCTCTTTTGGCCAAAGGCTCAGGGGCAGTAAAAAGCCTGACACAAGCCAAGAACTGAAGTGGGTATGGCTGGAGCACAGTGAGTGGGGGATAGAAAAGTATTGGGGAAGGTTGGAAGGCCAGCTGGTACAGTTTATGCAGGACCTGTAGGCCTAGGAAAGGAGCCTGTGCTTTATTCTGAGTGTAATGCAAAGGCATGGAACGATTTTATGTAGGGGAGCAGCATTTTTTTTTTTATCTTCAATCTTGGTGCAGTGGTGCATATTGTAAATCCCAGCAGCTCTGAAGGTTGAGGCAGGAGGATCATAAGCTCAAAGGCGCCTTAGCAACTTAGCAAGTTCCTGTCTCAAAATAAAATATAAAAAAGGGCTGGGGATGTGGCTCAGTGGTTATACATCTGCAGTACTTGGGAAGCTGAGGTAGGTAGATCACTTGAACCCAGAAGTTCAAGGCCAGTGTGGGCAACATAGCAAACCCAGTCTCAGAAATAAATTAAAAAGCCCAGGTATGGTGGTACATGCCTGCAATCCCAGCTAACGCCTGGGGGTGTGACTCAGTGACAAAGTGCTTGCCTAGCATGTGCAAAGCCCAATGTTTGACCTCCAGTACCACACACATACATACACAAAAAATAATAGCATAAATAAAGTGAAAGTAAGATAATACAAGCTAAAAATCATCTTCAAGCTATCTAAACTGAGGATCTTAAGAAAAAGTTGAAGATCATCTCTGAGGAAACATTAACTAGTGAGGCTTCTAAGTTTCAATCTAATGCTATTTGGTGAGGTTACTATTGGCTTGGCTCTCAGAATGTGCTCTCAGTACTGGAGATGCTGCTTTCAATGCAATAATATTTTGGTTTCAGCTGCATCTGTCCGCTTTTCTCCCTCTAGCTTCGACAGACCATGGCTAAGTTCCTTCAGGAGCATCTGGCTCCCAAGGCCCAGGAAATTGATCATAGCAACGAGTTCAAGAACCTGCGAGTGAGTCAGAAGGTTGGGACAGGGGGCAGTTGGGAGCTAGGCTGAGTTGCACTGCTGCCTGGAAGGGCTCACACTATCTCTTGGTAAAAAGAAGCCTCCCTAAGAAGCATTTGGTCTTATTGCAGCCACAGGTAGCTGGCTGCCTTCTCACAATTCCCTCTACTCCCTTCTGTTGATAGGAGTTTTGGAAACAGCTGGGGAGCCTGGGAGTATTGGGCATCACAGTCCCTGGTAAGTATAGCTTCTTTCCCTAAAGATAACTTTCCTTGTGTGCATACTTACACAATTCCCAAAGGAAGCAGGAAGGAAGGGAAAGATTGTGCCCAAAGACACCGACAACATTTTTTTTTTTTTTTCAAAATTCTGTGGGTCAGCTGGGTATGGTGGTGCACACCTGTAATCCCAGAAGGAGGCTGAGGCAGGAGGATCACAAGTTCAAAGCCAGCCTCAGCAAAAGCCAGGCAACTCAGTGAGACCCTGTCTCTAAATAAAATACAAAATAGGGGTGAGGATGTGGCTCAGTGGTTGAGTGCCCCTAAGTTAAATCCCTGGTACCCCCAAATAAAAATTCTCTGGGTCAAACAGTTGTCCTAGTGTATCTATTTTACTATCATAATTTCTAAGTTCTATTCAAAGAACTGCTTCTAGACAGGAATAGTCAGGGCAGGTATATCCCTAGAAGGACTGCCTGAGTCTTGTCCCTGGAAATCATTGGGATGAGAGGGATGTCTGTTTGGGCCTTCAGGTAAAGTGGCCAGAGGATATGTTTAATAGGTTCTCTATGGTCTGCCCATTGCCCACTGTGGGTCTTACTACTTGTTTTTAGGGGGAGAGGACAGGGAGCTGGTGGCCTCTGGTTCAAGTATTGGCTTCTAAGGAGAGGCCCAGCCTGGCTTGCTGTGCTCTGCAAAGAACTGAGCCTTTGACCACCTCAACCAAGCCTGAAGAGCCCACCATACTCAGGCCTATATTTACTGTGGATATGAGAGTAAGGGTGGAACACAATATAGTCAACTTTTTCTTCTCATTAGTCCCTACACAATAAAGAATAGCAACTATTTATATAATAAGTAATATATTTACTTATATAATAATTTATATAATAAGTAATCTAGAGATGATTTAAAGGATATGGGAGGATGTGCTTCAGTTTTAGGCAATGTGACAACATTTTGCATAAGATACTTAAACATCCTTGGATTTGGATATCTATGACAGGTCCTGAACCAATGCCCTGATATTAAGGGTCAACTGTATGTTTCACCTTGTCTCCTCTTCAGTACTCAGAGTAGGTTAATTCCTTGATTTTGAGCTGATTATAGAAAGTTAGATATTTACAACATGGTCTGGGCACGGTGGTGCACACCTGAACCCAGTGGCTCAGGAGTCTGAGGCAGGAGGGTTGCAAGTTCAAAACTGGCTTCAGCAACTTAGTGAGGCCCTAAGTGACTTAGTGAGAGACCCTGTCTCTAAATAGAATATAAAAAGGCTGGGACTGTGGCTCAGTGGTTAAGTACCCCTGGGTTCAATTCCCGGTAACAAATAAATAAAGTTATAACATGAATAATGATAAAATAAAACCATTTAAAGATTTAGATCATCTTAATGTAAAATAACTGGGGGGAAGGTTGCTAGGGGCTTCTAAACCAGACTCTTCCATTATATTTTGGAAATTTATGAACCCTATTCACCTACTCCAAGAATATGTGAATCAGAATGTATCTTAAAGGAAAAAAGAGGCAATTAGAAACCATGAGCTGGGGGTGTAGCTCAGTGGTAGAGTGTGTGTTTAACATTTATGAGGCTCTGGGCTTGATCCCTAGGACCACATTTAAAAGGAAAGAAAGGACAGGCACGATGGCTGACTCTTATAATCCTAGAGACTGAGACAGGAGGATCATAAAAAAGTCTAGAGAAATAGCTCAGTGATGAAGTACCCCTGGGTTCAATCCCCATTACCAAAAAAAGAAAGAAAGAAGGAAAGAAAGAAAAAAAGAATGGCTGGGTTTGCGGCTCATTAGTAGAGCACTCGATTAGCATGTATGAGGCACCGGGTTCAAACCATCCTCAGCACCACATAAAAATAAATGAACAAAATAGAAGTATTCTTTAAAAATCATAAAAGAAAGAAATCAGATAAAATCCTTTGTGGGGAAGTATTTATTTATTTATTTATTTATATTACCAGAGATTGAACCCAGTGAATCCAGTGGCACTCTACCACTGAGATTTATCCACAGCCCTTTTCAATTTTTTATTTTAAGACAGGGTCTCACTAAGTTGCCAAGGCTGGTTTTGAATTTGCTATCCTCCTACCTCAGCATCTGACTCAGGCATGTACTACCACGCCCACCTTCAAGGGAAAACTTTTAAAAGAAAGCCAGGGGGCTGGGGTTGTGGGCTCAGCGGTAGAGCTCTTGCCTAGCATGCATGAGGCTCTGGGTTCAATCCCCAGCACCACATAAAAAAACTAAATAAACAAAATAAAGATATTGTGTCCATATACAACTAAAAATATTAAAAAAAAAAAAAAAAGGAAAAGAAAAGAAAAAGCTAGGGCTGGGGCTATAGGTCAGTGGTACAGCACTTACTAGCCTGCATAAGGCTCTGGGGTTCAATGCCCAGTCCCACAAAATTTAAAAATCTCCATATGAATCCTGTTCCTACATGATAGTCCTGGTGGCTGTTTCTAACGTCCCCTTCCTTTTTGCTTTCCTTCATGGAGTTGTGATCAGGCCAAGCTTTCCCTAGAGCCTTTCCCTGGTTTCCTAGTCATAGTGAACATGTGCGCAGAGATTTGCCAGGCTTTACCTAAACAGTGGGATAGGGGATAGTACTAGATGACCTTGCCTCTTTGATTTGGGATTTTCTATCAAAGACAAACATCATTTTTATGGAGAGTTCTGAAATGTCCTGCTAGTATCTCTTCTGCCCTTTGCTGTACAGCTTACCTCTAGAGTTCCTCTCAGGCTCTGGCTGTCCTGGCTGTTACCAGCCCTACTTCTTTGGGTCCAAAGCCACACCATTAAATATTACTTTCTTAAGGCTGTTAAACAGACAGACTTGGATTTATATCTGGTTTTGGTGCTTCAGACACAGTCCTGTGCTCATTTTTGTGTTCATCAGACTGGCTCTCTTTCTTCATCTGCCTCTGTCTTTCTGTAACTTTTGTAATAGTTAGTGGGTGCTTGGGGTTTTTGCTTGTCTCCACGTAAGTGTCTGAAATAAAGACAGATTTGGCAATGATTGACTTCTGAACTGCAGCTCAGCCATCCAGCAAGAGCAAATGAACAAGTTCTGTGAGTCCTTGATATCAACCTGATAACACTGTTAGGGGAACTTAGAATAGATGCTACAAGGGTGTCTCTTTTCTGCCAATTAATTTAAGATTCTGTCAATATCTCAATTTTATCTGACTGCCTTTCTCCTCTCCTGCACTGTCCCTCTCGCAGTTCAGTATGGTGGCTCTGGCTTGGGTTACCTGGAACATGTGCTGGTGATGGAGGAGATATCCCGAGCTTCTGGAGCAGTGGGTCTCAGCTATGGTGCCCACTCCAACCTGTGCATCAACCAGATTGTGCGCAATGGGAATGAGACCCAGAAGGAGAAATACCTCCCCAAAGTAAGGAAATGGGAATGAAGAAAGCCATTCTGCAACCACCCACAACAGGGGGCTCTTTTCCATTGGTAGGGGCCAGTCAGACTTGGTTTCTGTACTTTGCTGCCACAAATACAGTTAGGAAGGATCCCATGGTTGTTTTAAAACATTTGAGTCAAAAATTGAAAATAGGGCTAGATACAGTGGTGCACACTTATAATCTCAGCGACCTGGGGGATTGAGGTAGGAGAATTGTGAGTTCAAAGCCAGCCTTGGCAACTTATTGAGCCACTTAGCAACTCAGCGAGATCCTGTCTCTAAATAAAATACAAAAAAAGAACTGGGGATGTGCCTTAGTGGTTAAGTGACCCCGTGTTCAAACGCTAGTATCTGGGGGAAAAAAATGAAAATAGGGCCAGAATTCCTGATTGGATAAAAGACAGCATTTGAGGGGCTGGGGTTGTGGCTCAGTGGTAGAGCACTCACCTGGCACATGTAAGGCACTGGGTTCGATTCTCAGCACCACATTAAAAAAAATAAATTAAATAAAGTTATTGTATCCATCTACAACTATATCTATATATCTCTTTGTGTGTGTGTGTGTGTGTGTGTGTACATATATATATATCAGCATTTGAAGAACACTTTAAGAAACAGAAAACCAGTATCATGGTGGCATATGCCTGGGGTACCAGCTGCACAGGAGGTAGAGGCAGGAGGCTCATTTGAACCCAGGCATTTGATATCAGCCTTGGAAAAATGGTGAGACCCCCATCTCAGAGAGAGAGAGAGAGAGAGAGAGAGAGAACTTCTGTAGTGCACACTTGCAATCCAGCTACTGGGGAAGCTGAGACTGAAGCAGAAGGATGGCAAGTTTGAGGCCAGCCTGGACAGCATAGTGAGACCCTGTCTCAAAATTAAAATAAAAAGGGCTGAGGATGTTGCTCAGTGGTAAAGCACTTGCTGAACATGCACAAGGCCCTGGGTTCCATCCCCAGCACTGCAGAAAAAGAAAAGACTGAAATAAGGAAGAAAGGGAAATAGAAGAAACACTTTCAGTTTTATGGATATTGAGCTTCCCTTCTAGGACTTTACCAATACCCTGCTCTAAAAAAGCAGTTTGAAAGGGCATAATGTGAACAGGAAGAGGCAGATCACTGAGCTGTTATAGGTTGCTTCTGAAGTCATAAAAAGGCCTATTGGTTTTCCTTGCAGCTGATCAGCGGTGAGTACATTGGAGCCCTGGCCATGAGTGAGCCCAATGCTGGCTCTGATGTTGTCTCCATGAAGCTAAAGGCAGAAAAGAAAGGTGAGATCATTCTCAATTATGGAGTTTAATGCGCAGAGGGACAAACCTTACCAGAATGAGGGAGCAAGAGCTGGGAGTGGCTCCAGAATTATTTCTCAACTGCTCATTAGTTCTGTGGACTGACAAGATAAGAAAAGCCAAGCCAGCCTAAGCAAGAACGTAATATCCTGCCCTTAGGAGATTACTACATCCTGAATGGCAACAAGTTCTGGATCACCAATGGCCCCGATGCTGATGTTCTCATTGTCTACGCCAAGACAGATCTAACTGCTGTGCCAGCTTCTCGGGGCATCACGGCCTTCATTGTGGAGAAGGTGAGGGTAGTGAGTGTGTAGTTGGGGAGGCTTTAGTCTCTTGACAGTGGCCAGAGGCTGCTTCCTTCAGCTGATCATGTATGCTCTGCTTCCAGGGGTTGGGGGAGATAGAGAGGAAACTGAAGGAGACTGACAGGAGGGTGGCCAAAGAGTCGAGTCCAGGGAGGATGGGTCAAGTCTGAAGACAGTGAAGCCATGCACAGAGCCTGACCATACAAAGAGGTTCAGGAAGAGGAAGACTGAAAGGAGGCCACTAGATCTGACAGTTAGGATGTCCTTGGTGAGCTGGGCAAGAACAGTAGGGGAGGCTGAGGTATAGCTGGGAATACAAGTGGAGAAGATTTCACCTCCACAGTCTTGACACAGAAGCAAAAGGGAGTTAGATCAGGAGCATGAATTAAAACTTCGGAGTTTGGCTTTGGTTTTAAAAATGAGGGGCGGGGGCTGAGTTGTCGCTCAGTGGTAGAGGGCTTGCCTAGCATGTGTGAGGCCCTGGGTTCAATTCTCAGCATACAAAATAGCTAAATAAAATAAAGATCCATCAACAACTAAAAAAACAAACAACAACAAAAAAAAAAACAACAAGGGATGACTGGTATGTAGCTCAAAGTGGGGAGATTGACCAAAATTTTTAGTAAGGAGAAAGGACAATTGGAGAGGCAGAAATTGAAGTGTAGGGTAAGTGAGCAAAACACAATGGCTTGTTGGGTAGAAGGAAGGATGGGTTACAGGTGACGATGGATGAACCATCTGCCTGATAACTGTAGGAAGCCAGGTGCATGTGGGGCACCTGTAAGGGCTGGAGATCACAGCTGTGGGGGAGATGGTAGAAAATTTAACAAATGAGACTTGCAAAGGTTTACAGTAGCCCTCATAGGGAAAGTAGCTATTAGAATTCGAGCGAATAGGGCCTGACAAAGATTGGAAACCTCCAGGTTGTAAAATACCCTCTCATGAGCCAGGAGGGGAGTGGACTAGGACTTTACCAATACTGGGCACTTGCCAGTACATACGCAACTGAGTAGTCGAGGTCAAAGCACACAGCTGGGTGCATTCATCCCAGGTGGAACTCCCTTAGGGACAAATAGCAGAAGAACAAAGGAATTGAGTGGGCTGTTGAGAGTACCTTGAGAGTGATGTCCCCTGGGGGAAGGGACGCACAGCCAGAGAGAGTCCGGAGGGTTCAGGACTGAACATTTCACCAGGAAAGAACTGCTCTCATGAGAACATAGCTGGCAACAGTAGAGACTGGGAACAGGGTAGGGTGTCAGGATGTAACAGTCGAACATGAGTGGGGTGCTGGAATGCCAGGCAGGTACAGGGACCTGATGTTAAGGTGGGTCTTCCCTTTACCAGCCCCCTTGTGCCAATTTTAACCAGAGCCTTCTCTTGTTTCCTGTAAAGGGTATGCCTGGCTTTAGCACCTCCAAGAAGTTGGACAAGCTGGGCATGAGGGGCTCTAACACCTGTGAGCTCATCTTTGAAGACTGTAAGGTTCCTGGTAAGAGTCTCCTGTCCTGACCCCCTCACAAGTTGATCTGGCTGTTCCCAAGCTGAGAAAGCCCATCCCTTGGCTAGAGAGACTCACCATTATTAGCTCCTTGATGACATGCAGTTAGACTGTGGGCCTGGGGCTGCTGGACAGCTGTCCCTCCTGGCCACATCCCCTGCATCTGTATGCCTGACTGGCTGAGGTGAAGGGTGGTGCTTCCTCTGTGGATAACACATTCTGCCTGGGCTTTGTTTCCAGTAGCTGAAAGAGAAAGATAAGACATCCCCTAGCTTGCTGTTGTCCTTCAGATATCCTGTACATTTGCCTGGATAACCTGTGTGAGTTACTTATTAAAAATGCTAATAAAGAATTGCTGGGCATGGTGGCGCACTCCTGTAATCCCAGCAACTTAAAAGGTTGAGACAGGAGGATCACAAGTTCAAAGTCGGCCTCAGCAACGGCAAGGTGCTAAGCAACTTAGTGAGACCCTGTCTCTAATAAACTACAAAATTGGGCTGAGGATGTGGCTCAGTGGTTGAGTGCCCCTGAGTTCAATCCCTGGTACCCCCCCCCCACCAAAAAAAAAAAAAAAGCCAACTAAATAAACTGTTGGAAGCCAGATTCAATGAAGAGGAAGTGATTTGGTTTCAGTAGAAGTATTTTCTCCCCTGAGCTGCAGCTGAAAATGTGACACCATGCATCACTCAGGGAGAACCAGCACCTCTATCATGTGCTGATAGGACCAAAGGCATAGATCTGCTCAACAATTAGGCTGTCTCTGTGCCTCAGCCACAAACCATCCCTCTCCCCCCAAATCTGCTATCCCAGAAAAGTATGATGTGGTTAGAAGGAGCATCTAGGGAGGGGGATTTATGCTGATCCTTCTTTGTGCAGAAGAAAAAAAATCAGCCAGGCACGGTGGCACTTGTCTATAATCTAGCAACTAGGGAACTGAAGCAGGAGGATCACAAGTTTGAGACCAGCCTTAGCAGCTTAATGAGGCCCTAAGCAACTTACCAAGACCCTGATTCAAACTAAAAAATAAAAAGGGCTGAGGATGTGACCCAGTGGTAAAGCACCCCTGGGTTCAATCCCTGCTTAAAAAAAAAAAAATTCAGTCAGCATTAAAGGCAGATCATTGGTGTCAAATTTCTATATTCAGTTTCCTGCCTGCTCATCCCAAGGCTATCCATAGCCCTAGCTTACCTGAAGGACAAGGCTTAGCAGCTTCTCTCACTAGCACTGAATGGCCCATCTCCTGGACAAAGCAGCTTTCATGGACCCAATGCAAGGAGGTGACACTAGACTAGAGCAGACAAGCTGGGAGAGAGAAATTCTCTGGTTCCTATATAGGTACAGGTGTGGGAAGAACCAGGCAGAGGTAGGTGACTTGTAGATAGACCAATTAACTTCTTCTTTCCCATCCAAGTGGGTCCAGAGAGAGAAGGGAAACAGCCAATAACTCAAGGCTTTGTGTCCAGTGGATGGTGTGGGGGTCCTAGAAGCTCAACTTCTGACTGGAAATGGTAAATCCAGTCCTTTTCTCTCACCTGGAACCTTAGTTGAACCTCAAGGAACATATTTTAGTGCCTTGTGTGAGAGCATGTTATCAACCTCGTACCCTTTATGAAAAGTTAAGAGGCTGTAGACAGCCCTCTCCCTCTGACCAGCATTTATCCTGGCAGCTGCCAACATCCTGGGTCATGAGAGCAAGGGTGTCTACGTCCTGATGAGTGGGCTGGACCTGGAGCGCCTGGTGCTAGCTGGCGGGCCCCTTGGGTAAGTATGAGGCTCCTGGGGACCTGCGCTCTTTTAGCCTCTGGGTGGCAGATGGAACTATCCTAAGCAGCAGCAGCCTTCCCGCAGGAGGGCCAAAGGGAGCTGATTCCTGGCCCCTGCAATCTCTCTTAGAGACAATAAGAACTTACTCCTCCTGCATTCAGTTTTTTCACACAGAAGGAAAATGTCATTAGGTGGATAGATGGAGGCCTGAGGAGCAACTCAGAAATGCTTGGGTGGTATGGATATGAAATGAGAGGCCCTGGCTCTGGTGCCTGTCTACTGCAAAGGTGCAGCCACTCCCACCTCTGGCTTTAGAGGAGGGACACAAGGGCTGTACAGTTGGTGCTGTAACTGCCTCTGGATGACAAGAGCTTCTCAAGCTCTTTTACCTCCTATCTGGGGTTCCAGATCCTTATCTTGCCAAGCTTTCCTCAAGGTCTTTCCCTCTGTCATTCTACCGCTCCTCTTGGCAGGGGTGGGACTATGAGACACCTCTGTCTTTCTCCTTTCTGGCAGGCTCATGCAAGCAGTCCTTGATCACACCATTCCCTACCTGCACGTGAGGGAAGCCTTTGGCCAGAAAATTGGCCACTTCCAGGTGAGTGGAATATTTTGCTGAAATGTACTTTTATTGGGTTCATGTTTTCTGTGATGAATGAGGAAGCAGACCATGCACTGTGGGATGTTGACTATCATCTAGCAAAATGAGCTTGAATGCTTGGAATGCGGGCTGCTTTAGCATGCAGCCTGGCTTCAGAAATTTTTAGTAAATTTAGCACATTCTCCCATCCATTTCTTTTGGAGATGAATGAACTCGAGACTTCATGCAACTGGAGGGTGAAGCTTGCAGGTGGTGGGGAGCTTGGGAAAAGGAAGGGCATTTCTAGTCCGCCTTTCTGGTTTAAAGAAGCTGTGGGAGGTTGATGAAGGTTGTGGCTGTCAGTGTCTGGGGAACACTGCCTTTCAGACATAGCAAGGGCCATTTCAGGGTACAATGTCCAAGAGCAGCTCTCTTACCCCCCAGATCTAATTCCATCTCTGTCATTCTAGAGAACTCCCATCTCTTCTGTGCCTTTGCTTCCTCATTCCTGCTGTCAGGTTGCCATTGAGGCTGATCTGCTTTTGATGACTAGAAAGAGTGTCCCAGCATGTTGACAATGACCTCTCTTTGTGCTCAGTTGATGCAGGGGAAGATGGCAGACATGTACACCCGCCTCATGGCATGTCGGCAGTATGTCTACAACGTTGCCAAGGCCTGTGATGAGGGCCATTGCACTGCCAAGGTGAGGGACAGCTCCTGAGCAGGGAGTAAGCAATGGGTCATCTGCTAGGACTGGCTCCTGCATGCCTAGCAGGGCCCTGCTGACAGAACCTCCTCCCACAGGACTGTGCCGGTGTGATTCTTTACGCAGCTGAGTGCGCCACACAGGTAGCCCTGGATGGCATTCAGTGTTTCGGTGAGTGGCCCCCAACACCCCCTCCTTCCTAGAGCCTGGTGCCAACTGGAAAGGTTTCCTCTCCACTTCCCACTTTGTGCTTAAGCTAGCCACAATTGAGCTACCACCTCCTGGCTCTGCCCCCTTTAGGAGGAAGTGGAAAAGTAGATGAGAAAGTGCTAGAGACCACTAATTGCTACTGCCTTCAACAGTGCCCCCTCTCAACCACCCCCCTGCTCTCGTGGATACTAGAAAATGGGAAGAGAGATGCTTCAGGTGGAACATCCTCATTTCAGTATTACCCTCAGATTGAGGGCATAGACTTGAGCCTCATGCTTAGGTTTGAATCCCAGTTCAGCCGTGCCAGTCTCTTCTTGCCCACTCCCATTCTTTTTTGGGGGGTGGGGGGATACTAGGGGTTGGACCCAGAGCCTCTTAACCATTGAGCCACATCTCAATCCCTTTTTATATTTTATTTAGAGACAGGGTCTTGCTGAGTTGTTTAGGCCCTCACTAAGTTGCTGAGGCTGGCTTTGAACTCTAGATCCTCCTGCCTCAGCCTCCTGAGCCCCTGGGATTACAGGCATGGGCCACCACATCCTACTCTTGTCTCCATTTTGCCATGTCTGCCAGTGATTCTCCACTTTCTTTGCCTGGTGCCATCAGCACTCTGAGTGGCCTTCCAGCTCTATCCCTTTGCCCACCCTGCTACCACCAAGGTACTCTCCAAGCCCTCCCCTCTCACTACCTTTTGCTGCTTCTCTTTAATCAGACCCTCCCATAGCTTATTTCTCTATACAGTCTGCACTCAATATTCATGGATTCCAACCAAATTCAGATAGAAAATATTCAGAAAAAAATATTGCTTCTATATTAAGCATAGACTTCTTGCTGTTATTCCATAAATAATACAGTGTAACAACCATCTAAATGGCATTTATATTGCATTAGATAGTGTAAGTAACATAGAAATGATTTAAAATATATGGGAGAATATGCTTAGGTTATATGAAAATACTTTGTCATTTTTTATAAAGGATTTGAGCATCAATAATTTTGGTAGCCATAAGAAGTCCAGAAACCAATCCCCACAGATACTGAGGGATGACTGCACTTGGCCTTCTGTTTGTTTTCCTTGCTTTGCTACACTGCCCATTGCTTCTGTTGTCCTTTCTTCTCTTCTCAAACCCTGTTGCAGGTGGCAATGGCTATATAAATGACTTTCCCATGGGCCGCTTTCTTCGAGATGCTAAGCTGTATGAGATCGGGGCTGGGACCAGTGAGGTGAGACGGTTGGTCATTGGCAGAGCCTTCAACGCAGATTTCCACTAGCCCCAAGATCCACCACCCCTTTCTCCCAGCACCTAGAGGCCTTTCTTTGGAAGCACAGACATGGTAGCCTCCTGGCTGCCCGAAGCAGGCCCTGCTGCTCCGCTTCCCTTCTGGCTACAGCTCTCAAGCCTCTGCTGGACGGGGAGTCTTCTACACTGGTTGCCAAGCACTGTGGGCCAACCAGCCAGGGAAAGCCTAAAATGGACTCAGCAGGAAGCATATTATCTTTTCTGAGAGCTTTAGGAGGGCTTTGGTGACTCTGTGCCCTTGCTCTCTGCTCTTCAACTTCAAAGCCTGATGCTCCCACCTCCTAAGGTAGCCTGGAGGTATGTAGGTACCCACCCCTTCTTTTAGGTGAGCCTGTGGCAGGGAGCCCTCTCTGTTCAAGTACAGCAGAATCATTGCCCCCTTCATTTACTCAAACTTGTTGGTCTCTTTTCTGGGGAAAAAGAAAAGCCAAAAATCCATCCTTGTTTGCTGGCTTCTTGAGTCAGCAGCTCCCAACCATTTGGGAACACCTGTGCTACAGAGTCTGCCTGGGGAACAAAAGAGAATTGTGGAGAATTAGCTCATGCTGGCCCCTCTGGCAGCACCTCTGAGCTGTTCTGTGCTGCTCTGTCACAGAGACCAGTGAGATCTGGTAAAGTAACCTTCCTCATCTACTGGGCAGCAGGTGAAGGCCTTGCCTGCCCAAGCAGGCCTGGGTTGTCTGGCTCAACTCCAGCAGGGGTTGCCTGTATACATTTCTTGAGACACCCTATGGCTAATTTTGTTACAACTGCACAGTGGCTGCTGCCATTTTGTATTAAACATATTGTGAAACAAACCCATCCGCTCCTAAATGGTGTTTTGGAGGAAAAACAATTACTGCTCCTGACTTCTTTCTGGATACAGCACATGTCCTTGGAGAATGGATGGCCCAAGTCCTATTCCTTCCCTCCAACCTGCTCCCAGTGATTTGGTTTTGTGTGTGTGCATGTGTGTGTTTGTTTTGTTTGTGATGCTAGGGATTGAACCCATGCAAGGCAAGTGCTCTACCACTAAGCTACTATCCCAACACTTCAGTGACTTTTTTTTTTTTTAAAGAAAGGAGGGACCCCAGAGTAGTAGGATCCTGGAACTGTATCTTATAAATTTCTGAAAACCATCCTTGAGGTATTTTGTTTTGGGGTTTGTTTGTTTGTTTTGTTTTTAAGATCAAGATAATTTAACTTTTTCAAGGTCAGAACTAGAGCTAAGATCCAGATTGCTAGCAGCAACAATGGGAGTGTTCTGAGAATTCCAGCCTGGGGCCCTTCTACACAGCATCCTAGATGGAACCTGGTCTGAGAGGAATAGGTCTATGTTATTCTACCCCCTCTAAGTTCCCAAAAGAGGAACTGATTTTCTTGGCCCCCAGCCTGGCAGCACCTGTCCCTGGTATTTGGTTCTAACCTCCAGAAAAGTGCTGCTTCCAGCCTGGGGCTTGAGAGTGGGTTTAGCAACCCCAGTCTAATCTTAACTTGAGGGGAAAATCCAGGGCTTGTGGCTGTCCCTTAACTTCTGTGTCCTGTATTGATGAATTCAGCTAAAATGGTTAATGGTCATCTAAAAACAGGTAGCTATAATAACCAGCCTGCAGACATTCAAAATGGCAGAATGTCATGTGTATTCCAGTCAGTGTTGGGTAGAGCCTTGCCAAGTTGGGTGAGTCCCCCAAATTAGAACCTTAATCCCAAAGTCACATGTCAATTGTATCTAGAGGTGGGACCCTCATTGGCATTAGTGGCTTTATAAGAGGGAGCCCCATACTAGCATACTTGATGTCTCATGTGAGAACCTCCACCATGTTTCAATGCAGCAAGAAGGCCCTCACCAGATGTCAGTGCCATGCTCTTGGACTTCTGGCCTCCAGAACAGTGAGCTAGATAAAGCTCTATAAATTACCCCATCAGTGGCATACAGTTATAGCATCAGAAAACCAAGACAGAAAGAATGCAATTGTTCTCCTGATCCTTTATGCGAAACAAGAGGAATGTTTAAAAATAAAAAACAAAACAAACAGCATAGCCTGACACAAAAATAGATCAGCGGGCACTTTGGTTCTGGTGGGACTTTCAGGTTCTCTCCACACACTGCACAGCTCTACCTCATAGGTTAACAGGCACCTTTCCTTCCCGAGGCTGCCTCCAAGTGGATTCCAGTTTTAGGCCACCACACTATCAGGGCAGCACCTCCTCCACATTGCCTGTCCTGTGGGAGGTTAACAGAAGGTAACAGAATGTTTAAGTGTGATCTGGGCACACCCATATCAGAATTTGGCAACCTGTAAACTAACAGCCCCCCTGCATCTCTCCCCAGACCTAGTCACATCTCTGGGAAGTAGCAAACTTTTATAGCAACCCATCAGGATTGGGGGGGGGGCTTCCCTAGAGAACTGAGTCCTAATCCTTAGCCCCATAATCCAAGGATAATTACCCTTAAGTATGTAACTCTCAATTTCGTTTCATATATCGGTTTCCATGGGTGCGGAAGACAAGGTTGCACAGCCACCCTAGCAAATGGCCAGCAAGGTGAGTCGCCTGGGGGTCGCTGGGGAGCCGGCCACGCCCAGACGCTAGAGACGCGGGGTGGAGCCAGAGCTGGTGTAAAGCGGTGGTGTCCTTGCTGTGCAGGGGCGCCGACCCAGGGCTTGCCTGGTGGAAGCTGAAATACAGGATTCCAGTAGCAGTTGTTGGACTCGCAACCTAGGTCAGGTCCAGGGTCTTCCCTGTGTGTCCCTCCGCCTAGGCACCTGGCGCCACCGAGCGCTGCACTGGCTCGTCGGACCAGCTCGGATGCAGCGTAGAGCTCGCCTGACCCCTGCCGGCTGCACGCGGAGTCGCAGTCGCGCAGGGCCCGCGGCACTCCGCCCTTCACTGGAGTGCCTTGGATGCACGGATTCCAGTCAGAAATTACACGACTCAGGGATCAACGATATTTTATTTTATTAAACGAGGACATTAAAGGGGAGATAAGTGGCTGTCATCTAGCACAATTTTATACAAGAAGGGCCACATGTAACAAAAAGAAAAAACAAACTCAGAACAAAGGCCAGGGTTGTATTAAATTTTCGTATGTGCTTTCTGTGTATGGTTTCAAAATATTGTAGTCTGAAAAGGATTTTTTTTTTAAAGATTGTCTCCTTTCTCTCCCTACCACCCCCATTGCCATTCCTAGGACAAAATCACTTTGAGTCTTTAGGGGGTTTCTTTTGGTAATTCATACCTCTAAGTGATAGGCTTATTGATTGATTGATTTAATTGGATATACTTGTAAGGATAGTTCTTTAAAGTTCTCACATTTGATTTCTGACAATCTCACTATATGCTCTTCCACCACCACCACCACCACTTCCGGGGACCAGCCCTGTTGATTGGCAAGCATTTGGAAGCCCTGGGATCAGGTGGTACAGAGCCCTGTCCATATTCTTGGCTGGCCCCTGCTCCTGCCGAGACCCCAGATCCACACTAGTGCAGGGTGAGGCCTTTCACCTTCCATGCTCCACCTGGTTATTCTATCAAGAAGCCATTCTGAAATTTGGCCTCTCCTGCATTCACCTCTCTCCTCCCCTGACAGAAGCTAGCCTGATATCTCTTAAATATTGCTTGGATCCACAACAATCTGCCAACTTTCCTGCCTACTTCTAGTCTACACCCTCAATCTAGTTCTATACTGATCCAGTGGGGTCTATCAAGCTCACCCATATATCCTTCAGCAGCTCCCAGCACCTTTAAGAGCTAAGATTTTAAGCTGGGCATAGTGACACGTGCCTGTAATCCTAGGTACTCAAGAAACTGAGCACGGAGAATTGCTTGAGACCAAGAGTTCAAGGACAGCTTGGGCAATACAGCAAGACCCAGTCTCAAAAAAAAAAAAAAAAAAAAAACCTAAGGTTTTGCAAGGCAAATATGGCTCTGACCTCCCCCTCCTGTTAACTTCCCTCCCTCCCTACTGAGTGCCTGTGTTCTTGTTGAAAGTTCTCCTTGCTGTATTTTCTTAGCTTGTGCCCTAACTGATCCTTCAGCCAAGAAATCCTTTCTGCTCTTTCCTATGCTCTTGCTTCCTTGTCCCTAAAGCCTCAATCCAGGGCCTGCCTCCTCCAGGAAGACCTCTGTTCCCCAGCCTTTCCCCAATCCTGTCCCCACCTCACCCATCCCCCCTCAGCATATCTGCATCATTGAGCTTGCCATGCAGTTGTACTTATTTTATGTTGTCTGTTTCCCCTGCATTAGGCTATGAACTTGGGGAACGGGTCTGATTTCACCATCCAGTACAGTTCTTGGCATATAATAGATGCTCAAATGTTTATTGAAAGAGTAGATAGGTAGTCATGTAACAATTAGCTCACATTTTGCTGGTACCATAGGTACTTGGGTGTGTGGTCACCTCTAGTGTTATTTAGGATTTTTGAGGTCAAAGACCATCTCCCACTTCTCCGAATCCTTCAACAGCACCCAGTGCTTTCAGTGAGTACTCAGTTGCTATGTTCATGCTGAATGAGTGAAACAACAGGTGGGCCAGAGCCCTGGCCTAATCCCAGAGTTGGCACAAACAGCAGGGCCAGCCGGCTTTGCCTGGCGGTGCTCTCCTCAGGCCTTCCCACCCTGGAGTAGTTAGGGCCCAGCTGCAGAAGAGAGGCCCTCACCCCCCATATCCTCTGACCCACTCAGAAACTGAAGAAAGGAGCTGTTATAAGGTACTCTGACTCCTCCTCTGCCAGCTGGGGACAGAATGGGGGCTGAATGGAAAAGGGGGGGCAGAGTAGGGCTATTGTGTAAAATGTATAGTATATGGAAGAGTATGTAACATGCATATAGGCAGGGTAAAATATAAAGTACCAGTACCCAGGCCAATAAAGAAAAAATATTCCAAGTATCTTTGAAGTCCATGTATCATGTGCCCTCCCTTTTTTTTTTTTTTTTGGCACTGGGGATAGAACCCAAGGCCTTATACATGCTAGGCAAGCACTCTACCACTGAGTTACACTCCCAGCTCCCAAGTTTTTGTTGTTGTTTGTTTGAGACAGGGTCTCAATATGTTGCTCAGGCTGGTCTTGAACTCCTGGACTCAAGTGATTCCTCTGCCTCAGCCTCCCAAGTAGCTGGGACAATAGGTGTGCCACTGTACCTGGCATATCCCCTTACTTTCCTTTATGGCTTCCTACCTTTATATGTGTCCCTAAACAATATTGTTTAAGTTGCCTGTTTTTAAATATTCTACAGTTGGGCTCATACTATATATATATTCTTGCTTGCTATATGTGTCTAGCTTCTTTGGTTCATCATTGTATAGTTTTTAAGAAATGCATTCCAGTTAACGAGCATAACTATAATTTGTTTAATTTTTACTTGTATAGTTCTCCATTATATGGAAATACTACAATTTAATTTTTATTCTACTACTGATGAACATTTGACTGGTTTCCAGTTTGGGGCTACCCTTGAATGCTCCTACAGGCACCCTCTGGTACATGTGTGCAAAAATTTCTCTAGATACATTCCAAGGATCGGGATTTCTCTGTTGTAGGGTATGTACCTGACCAACTTAAGGAGGAAATTCAAAACTGTTTCCCAGAGTAGTGATGTGTCTATTTTTTAGAATGATGCCACCAGAAATGACTCAGGGCAAAGGTCCCCAAGGTCGACCCCTTGAGTTTATGAGTGTGCATCACTGCTTCCCTGGTCAAGCCTTGCCACACCTTCAATAAACCTTTATAAACAAGTAACTAAGAGCCAGACACTGGGCTAAGGGCTGGGGGACAGTGAATAGTTAGCTCAGACCAACCCCAGAGAGGGACAGTTATGT